CTTTCCGGAAGCCTGTTCCAGCGGTCCATGGCTCTTCCTTACAGCCGGCTTTCCGCCCTAATCCGATCGGATCGCGGTTTGTCCAGCGTCAAGGAGTGACCGCGTAGAACAGACAATCTAGTGAGACTGAATAGCCGAGATAAATCTGGACCAACCTTCACAGTTAAGATACGGCATGTTAGGATTAGGTCTCCTCTAAGCCTTCGATAGTGCTTTGAATACACTCCCAAACTAAGTAGACGCTCGGTGTACGTTCGTCCCCGTAATCCCTCGACTAACCTAGTACCCACTCGTAAAGCCCTCGCTAGCTCCATTTTGTCCCAGACGAGGCAGGGCGAACAAGTCTGGACGAAGTATACCAGAGGAGGCCGAACGGAAGCCGAGAACAGTCTCGTAAAGAAGCCACCCGTCAAGACTCCGAACGAACGACGCATTAACCACAACATGCGGAAACCTCTGCTTGCGGCCTTTTTCCAGTTGTCGCCGGAGTGTAAAGCCGAAGAGTTTACGACGCCCAGGTCAACCTGGGTAGATACACAGGGGAGTTCGACCCCACCGACCACGTACTTCGTAGGACCGCAACCTCCTCAAATTCGAAGAATGGTGCAATTTGCCTGATTTATAGGTAGTAACCATAAATGAGACCAGTCCCAAAGCTTATCCAGTGCTCGCTGAATAGCTTCAGAACACCCAGGAACATCGATAATGTTTCACAGCTTCAGGGCTTCAGCAAATAACAGCGATGGTACCTCAAACCCCGCGGGTAGGTCATTCACATAGATAGGGAACAGCAGCGGTCCAAGGACCGAGCCCTGCGGCACGCCACTGAGGACAGACTGCCTAAACGATAGGCTCCGGCCTACCCGTACACAAGATCCTCTACCCCTTAGAAGGGGGTCAAACAATGAAGAGCCCCGCCAGCTACCCCGTAGGAGGTCAGCTTTTGCGCGAGCATCAAATATAGTACTCGTCAAATGCCTTCGAATAATTGACGAAAAGCGCTTCCAGTGTGTGGCCGTTATCCACTGCATCCGCCCAACCTTCGCGGGCCATCAGTAGATACAGCGGGCACCAAAATCCCTTCCGGAATCCGTGTTGTACATTGCCAAGCAGCTTAAATCTACTCAGCCGACTCTCCGCTGAAGCTCTCACCAGTTTCGCGATGAGTTTGGCTACTACACTTTTGAAGCTAACTTGCCTATAATTTGCAGGCAGACTGCTGTAACCGTTTTTGATAATGGGAGAGCTGACAACTCTCTTCCATTCGGAAGGCAATGCACAGTTATCGAGCGATTTCTGAACCACCATAGCGAGCGGTCTACTTACTTCCGCAGCCAACTTATGCAACAGTTTCGGGTGAATTGAATCGGGCACAGAGGCCCCAGAAGGGTTCAGACCTTGTAACAGCCTACTAAATTCCGTCTCCGCTTCAATGAATTCCGATAGTCCTAGACCCTCTAAGATGCTGCAAATCAGCTCAACGCCTGTCAAATAGGTTTTCCTTCCACACACTGCTGCATATTGCCCCCTAAGTGCACAGGCATTGTCGTAGTTCATATGCGCATGAGTACCGTCATCAGGCCTCAATACCGGAATTGACATGTTCGAACCGCAGCGCCTTTTGACATAAGCGAAGAATCTTTTTGAATTCTCTGAAGCTTCCTCCGCTAACCCTTTCCCGAAATTGAGCCGAGCATCTCTTAGGTGTTGCTTACACCTATTTCCAGCCTTACGGTACATGTCATAAACATTGGTGGCCGAAACATTCCGGTAAGCTCGCTAACATCTTGACCATCTACATCTCTTTGTGAGCAGATGCGTGCCAGTGGAATATGTCCTGTGCGGCTGTGCTTGTGCCTCCTTGCTCCTTGTGACCGGGATTAAGGGAGCAGAGACGTCTGAGGTAGGACTTAAATTTTTCCCAGGCAACCTGGGCAGTATCGTCGTCTGAGATCCTACAATGGAAACTCGAAGTCTTGGCTCTCACTGATTGATATACTGTACGCCATATGTTCGGGAGAGACGCAACAGTAGTCTGGTAGCGTCTAGTCAGAGTACAACAGCCAAGCAATCCAACATGGTCACTAGAACCCAGTGGAGGTCCGTAAGTAATATCACAAACAAAACCGAGTGACTTAGCAAATACAAGATCTAAGACAGACGGTACTTGAGCTTCCATGTACTTAGTGGGGAGGTCAATGAACTGGTGCATATATACTTGGAGTGTACTCCCAAGCAGATTAGCGTCGAATGCGCCTGACGCTGCGTCGCAAGTATGATCTGCCAAGCAAACTTCTGGGAGGTTGAACCCGCCTATTACCAAACACTTGTTTGCGGACTGGGAGCTAAGGCATTCAAGTACCGCTTTGGATACGCTCCCAGGACTTCTATACACAATTACAACTGTGACCTGAGGCGGGGGTGTGCTACTAACAGCCGACAGAGCTTCAACAGTTTTGTCTGCAGACTGAAATAAGCAAGCCTTCAAAACGGCAAGTTTACAGCTCACATAAAGAGCGACGCCCCCTCCCTGTCGGCCAGCAGAGCGATGGCATCTAAATAGTGAGTAGCCAGATAGATGTAATTCACCATCCGTGATGTCCTGAGACAGCCACGTTGCAGGGAATGCGAGTATATCGGGATGAGACCCAGCTACAAGCAGAACTAACTCGTACACCTTATTCGTTAGGCTGCGCACATTACTGAGCACTATCTGAAGGTATTCGTTAGATCCAAACTTGTGTCGTATGCTAACAGCATTGGCCGTGGTAGGGCGGAAAAGGACCGCAGGCTGACTACCCAAAAACCGACTAACCGGCGACCTTGTTCACCGGCCGCTCGACTGCTTTTGAGGTCCCTGATGGTCTCCCTTAGCTTCAGCCTATCGGCCAGCGGAAGGTCCAGCTGAACGCTAATATTAGTATCTATCAGCTTAGAAGATAACCTCATGAGAGCGCTGCGTTCCTCCGGGGTACGGAGTACCACACGAAGTAGCCGCGGTCGAAGGTTTGGTACATTAACTGGGACGTTCCTCAGTCTAATCAGCTTCCTGACAGTAAAGCCTGGGAAAGCTGGCTGAAGAAGCTTCGTTACCCACAATTTATACCATTGAAATTCATCCAACATGCCATCCGCAGAAAGAACAGCAGTAGATACAGCCGCGTTACGGAATATAACACTACTATCAGTGAAAGAATTACCACGACGGGTGTATTAACCCCACGGCTCTTGGATTCGATACTTGGAGCAGGTGGCTTCACCACTGGTGATTGGACTGTCTTTAGCCCCTCCGATGATGCAGCAACGGCAGCGAATGTTTTCGCTCCATTGTCGATGTCTTACCTTTTTCGGGTCATCAATACCACCGAATGGCTTCCTGGCAGATTTGGTCTACTTTTTCTTCTTGATAACGGGAGCAGGATCCGGTGACGATTTTTCGCTTTGAACCGAGTCAAACAAACAAGCAGAATATTACTTCTCGGTGAGAAATGAGATATCCGGAAACTTCGGTTGACAAGTAGTGCGTTTTGGAACCTACGCCTTCCCGCAACCGTCAGACCGACTGACAAGTAACGACACTTGGCTCTTTCCGGTGCCAGGACCTATGAACCTGCTTGTTTAACAGAGATTTTACGGGGTTTCCTGGCTCACTTTCGCTTTATTCGAAGGGACCGTTGAACCAGCAATTCGGCGTCGGTCAGGGTAGCTTTAGATAGGTCGTCCGAAGCTGCTTCCTTTTGGTGGTCGGTAGTCATCCGGAAGGGTGACATCATGTTTAGTGCCACATGTTGGGCACCAGTTTAAGCGATCAAATCTGCTTTGTTGGAGACCGGAAGTGTCGTAATGAGCACAGCCATCTTAAGGCGAAGATATGGAAGCATCGAGAACGATCGCCCCACATTTCGCTGCAGTGTATCAATAGATTCGTCTCTCGTACGAAAGACTGCGCGGCCTCGCCGGCGGCGGCAGCCATTGGCACAACTGAAAAGCAACATTTCGCTGGAGGTCGGCGCTGCCTACTGCTCGGTATTTAGGTCCTTACAAAGCTGGTGGTACCATCGGTTGCAGACATCGCAGTGCATACCTCTGGAATCGTCAGTTACTGGTATATTGCAGCTTGAACTGCCACAAAGTGCGATAACCTCAGAATTCAAGCCACCAGGAACAACAGCCTCGGTGCATTGCGAGACCGACATAATGGAAAACAAAGTGGAATTATAACAGGTATACAATGGTTAAACGGCCTCAATAAAAAGGCAAAATTTGGGTGCAAAACGGGATTAAAACTGGGAAAAACCGGAAAATTTCCAATACGCGTCAAAGATGCTTTAACTAGAACCGCTTTGGTCGAGCCAAGATAGCTTGGATTAGAGGGAATTTGACAATAGTCAAATTCCGTTACAAGTGTTTATTCAAACACTGTTTTCCACAAAATGCAGCTAAAAATCTCGATCAGCGTGGCACACCAAAAAATCGCGTTACCGCGTAGTAACCTTGTATATATATTTATATGTGTAATGTATTTATATATACTTATATAAACTCAGTCAAATTGATATTAAATAGCTTTTTTGTCAAACCAGCGATGGAACATAAAAGAACTGTTTTGCCAACTGACCTAATGACACATCACGTTTTTAATTTTTTAATATTAGCTATTGGCTGTTCTAGGATTGCAAAACTAACAGGTGCATCAAGCATTTGTTTTAACATTTTGGTTGTAATAGGTCAGAGGCTGTGTGGTTAATCCTTATTGGTTGGATTTTTGGCTATATACGGCCGCCTTATTCCTGTCTTTCGGATGATGTATCTTTTGTGGTGTGCACTTCTGTTGTCTGTGGTTTGTGGCACTACGGTGCACTTCTCGGAGCATTTTGACGACGGTGAGAGCTAATCTGAGATCTTTATTTTGTAGTAGCTTCTCTAGACAAATGGGTGCAGTCGACTCATCACCCACAGGAAACTAGAGGCTCATGGTCTATATCCTCCAGCAAGTCATGGAAGAATATCTCGAATCTTGGGCTGAAAACCAACAATGATAGTAGATTTTATGCGATCTCTAGGAAGTTCGACAAATCCTTCTCCAATGAAGGAGATACGTTAGTTGTTCAGTTTTCCGTCAAGTTTGAGCAGCAAATGTCTTGCGGGGGCTCATACCTAAAGCTGCTCAACTCCAAAGTTGATCCCAACCAATTTTATGGAGACAGTCCATACCTCTTCATGTTCGGTATAGTTTGCTTTTATCGTACATCTTTTAGGCCCTGATATATGTGGATACTCCACGAAGAAAGTTCATGCGATTTTCAATTATAAGGGTCGAAATCATTTGATTAAAAAAGAAGTCCGTTGCAAAGACGACCTTCTGTCCCATCTTTACACGTTTATCTTGACCCCTGACAATAAGTACAGCATCTTGATTGACAATGAGAAGGTGGAAGAAGGAAGCTTAGAAGACGATTGGGACATGTTACCGCCTAGAAAAATAGATGTAACTCATCGTTTCCTATAACGCCCCTTTTAGGACCCGAATGCCAAAAAGCCAGAAGATTGGGTCGATACGGAGCAAATAGATGATCCGGAAGATAAAAAACCCGAAGACTGGGATCAACCAGAGCAGATACCTGACACCAGCGCCACTCAACCCGAAGATTGGGATACCGAACTTGATGGTGAATGGTCCCCACCAATGATCGCGAATCCGGATTACAAAGGCGAATGGAAACCAAGAAAGATTGATAATCCTTTGTATAAGGGACCTTGGATTGCTCCTCAAATTGATAACCCGTCATTCCAGCCAGACGATAAGCTGTACGTCATGGAAGATATATCTCAACTAGGTTTGGATTTGTGGCAAGTTTCTTCAGGATCGATATTTGACGACTTCCTGTTAACTAATGATCCAGAGTTCGCACGTTCCGAAGGTGAACGTCTTTGGCGGCCACGCTTCAATGTGGACTCGGAGTATGAAAAACATAAAGAGTCAGAAGACTTAAAGGAAGCTGAGGATAAATCCGATGACACCGATGATGAAGACAAATTGGAGTCTACAGAAGATTTGGAGAAACCTGATTCCTCTGGTGCAGATAAAGCTGATGAACATATCGCAGAACCGCCCGAAGATGTGAACAAAGTCGAGTCCGATACGCACGAAGAACTGTAATCATACGCCAAGTATTTGTTGGATCTTTTCTCTCCGTATTATGTACATTATTTAACACATTAAACAGTTACTTATGGTGCGGTGTATCAGTCCCTTTATGATTCTAGGTTCGGTTTGTTTTTGAAAACGGGATTTTCCCTCCAACCGTTTCCTTCATTTGTAGTGGAATATTTATCCATTTTGCCAGTGAGAAGCCTAAGCATCGTGTTTTTTTTGCAAACGTAAGTCTTGGTGGCAAAACAGCCTGTCTAACGCATTAGGGACGACAAACTATCCTTATGTTGCTTTACGGTAATGTGCTAATTAACTAAGTTGCCTGGCCATCTCAAGTGTTAGTTGGGAGTTCGTTAGCCCATGCGATTTCTTGTCTTAGTGATGCTCATTCATTTCCTTGTTCCTGGGAAGCGTTGTTTGCGCTTCTATTGTCATGCAACTGGGAGGCTCCATTTACCATGAGTTCTGCAAACGTCCAGTTAGTATCCTGCTTTTTGAGCATGTGGGGAAGATTGAAGATCATAGTATGTCTATCGTAGCCCATCCATCACACGAAAAGAGGACAGCGATCTTGGTGTCTCAGTAAGACTGGTGGCGATGACCGCGCCTACTTTCCTGATCGTCGGTGACTTAAACCTTCCGCATTCAGAAAACAGCTTAGCTACCCTGGAGAATGAATTAGTGGATTGGATGCTCTAGAATGCGTTCGAGCAATACGTAGATGTTCCGACCGGAACTCCTATCGGGAGTACTTCAACCCTTAAGATTGTGGTCGCCAAACACGGTCACTTGATGGACCTGCGCGTGGAGGCACCCATAGGTAAGAGTGATCACTGCGTTTTGACCTCTTCTATGAACACACCGAGGCCTACAGAGAATCATCGAATGGGGAGGAATTTAAGTCGCATTGATTTTACAACGCTGTGCGCTCAAGGTCTTTAAATCACTTGGATCCCTGATCAGGACTAAGCGACTTTGGAACAGTGGTGGTTTTTACTCAAAAGCGAGTTCATGCAATTACTGAACGAATTTGCTCCCCCTGCGCTCTAGGAGACATCTTGCCAAACCCCGATGGTGTAAGAGATTGACAAAGCGATGAAGAGGCGTAATAATGAGTGGGGAAAATACCAAGAAACTCGGGACTTCCGATGTTGGCTGCAGTACAGATGTCGAAACGTGGCTATTAAGTTACAACGGCAGACGAAGTACTCATATGAGCTTAGGTTGGCCAACTTTGCGAAATCAGAGAGAGGCGGTCGGCTTTCTAACTATGCAGAATGTTTTAGGACCTCTTGACTCACCTTGTTGAGCGCTTTACTGAACTAAGTCTAGGTCCCGTCAACAGGCTTCCCCTGGTTGATTATCCGTAACCACTCATGCCTTGTCACGAGCAGTAGGTGATGCATGAGCGGCCTCTCATGAAACCGTGCTGCGCCTCCGTCAACTCCTTCGATTTCTCAGCTGCAACAGACCCTACTTCACAGTCCCGAGCGTCCTAGCCAAGATGGAAGACAGACAAATTGGCTGGTAATTGTCCACCTTGCTGGGGTTACCGCCATTCGGAATCGGCATTACTAACAAGCATTTCCACTCCTTCGGCAGTGCATCATCGGACAGCGATTTGTTAAACAGATCAGTGACGGAAGGTGAAATGGTGGCTGATAAGGATATGAGAATCAGCGAATAGTCCTTCATGACCGGCAGACCACGTGCGTCAAGACCGGCTAGTAGTTTGCTTACTTCATGCACATCGCAAACTGTCGATTTCGGTTGGGGCGGCACAAATTGAATTCAGTACAGTCACAGCCGTTCGCAAATCCGACAGCAAAGTGCGCCACCAGTGCGGACTCACGCTCAGTGTTCGAAGTTAAAGGATGTTGGGCGAGTCACTCTATTACAGCTACTTCGGCTGTAGGCCTCAGGTGTTGATTCTCGCTGCGGCTGCAAGCTGCTCTTCAACCTTCCGACGCCTTCTGTGTTTCTGCGCTGCTGCATAAATTCCACTGTCTCTTGTACCCCATGTAGTCGTCAACAAAGCCAAACTGAAGGCATTTATTCCATAGCGTGCATCACCGTTTAGCCAACTAACCATATCGCATTTCGAACCAATGGGGCTTCACTGACCCACCTTTCCAATACTTGAGGGACACGAATCGAGCGCACAACGATTTTTCACTCCCTTTTATAGTAGACCGACAGTCCTCAACTGATGAATTATATAGCAATGACCAGTCCATTTGAATACCCGCTCGAGTTGTGCCGTCGAATTCAACTTTTCAGTATTTTTAATGTGTCTGCTGTAGACGCGAATACGGCAGCGGCAGCTTTAGGCTGGCTATGGTTATCATTTGGCCACTCGCTTTCAGTGCCTCCAGGAACTCAACATCATGCGCAAGCTGTTTGCAGCTAGTCAAAACATGACGGAGCATAATGTAGCTTGCTGCGCGTCTGCTAGCAAAAGTGCTACTCCAGTTTCAACTGTACGCCGTAACGGCACTTTGCTGCCGCACGACCACCACCAGTCGCGCGTGGGCTGAGTATACCGCGAGGACGCTCGCCCCTACTCGGATTCGAACCGGTGACCTTATCGTTGCAAACCCGGCGCTCAGACCGCTCGGCTACCTGCGACCTGGCTTCAACTACTATCTTAGCCATCATTGTTTTCGCTTCACAGTGCCCAGGAGAAGTAGTACCTCATTCCGGCGGATTCGAGGTAAGTTAAAAACACTCATGAATAGGAGCGGGGAAAACTCGTGGTTTCGGATGTGCGGTAACCAGTCCAAGCGGCGACTTCCTGGACTTCGATAAGCTACACTCACGAACCGTTCACCCACGCTTAGGTCGACCGCGCACCACAGTCGACTTGGTTGTTCGTACTCGCTATTTTCTGCTGTTTTAAGTGAGCGAATCTAGGTTCTGTGTGCATTCGCACCGTTTAAAAAGTACCATCCAATGTTGAAAGATTTCAACAAGTGGCGACTGATCTGCAGAATGCGCGTCTCGTTGTGACTTGCCCCAGGTTTCACCGCAAAGTGAAACATCAGTCTACAGGTTTTCCACCACCCCTCGGCTTCGCCTTTCCAACCACTGTTATCCCGGTCCGTCCCATCACCTGTCCAGCTAGTCATGCGTGCCGTACTCTGTACGTTCGGCTGATCGTATGAGACCGGCCACAGCCGTGACAACCATTATGTGTCGTACCACTTACTACTTCCGCTTGCGAATTATTATGGTTTCTGGTATGGCCATTGTCTTCTGTAGCTTTAGATCTCGCGGACCATATGCTGTTGCGAAGAGTTTGGACATGGTTGGTACTGTTCTCTTGACAAAGGCTCAATCCGCAGGTGCCAATGAATTGTTTTTTCTGCCCAGTCAACTTCGACTGGTGCAGTTTCTTGCCGACGTGTATCTGTTTCGTATCATGTTCCTTTTTAACTAATGATCCCTACACCGGATCGTTGCTCGTCTGGCCCGCTTTCGGTTTTACCTGGCTGGATTCGGTAGCAGGTTACAGGTATACGTAAGACAGGGAGCGGTCTAACTCAGGCACACTCCAGTGCGTCACCAGAGAACTTCTTACCACGCACCAGGTGACTAGGTTAAATAAATAAGTAACTGGGTATATTTCATGACAAGCGGGACACGTTCCCTTTTGTGGAATGATCATTTACAACAGGTTTCGTCATCATTTCCTTTATGAACTGCATTCAGTATGAAGCAGTTATGCAGTTATTTTGTTGCGTATGTAATAAGTAACATTATTTGATAGTTACTATTGTCAAGTTCAATTTGGACAGGAACGGTAGGAGAATTCCCATGTGTGTTCCTTCTTCAATGCGTCGTTGAACCAGGATGGAGTTCGCGGGAGCGGTTTGGAGCTGAGAGGAGCCAAATCAATACACACGAATCACATAACGGTCAACCAATCAATGCCCACGCGGCCTGCACTAGCAGTCCCCACTGTACCGGCCACGTGAATAGAATAAAGCTTCAGAGAAGGGAACCAACAAAAACAAAATAATGGTAATTGTAGTACAGGAGAGAATGTGTGGTTAAGACAATAATAGTAATAGATGTGAGAAGCCAAGGAAATAGATGTAGAAGTTAAGAACTAAACGGAAAGGTCTGAAACTGTAACCCAAGGGCGTCTAGTCGATGTTCAAACTCCTTCACCGTTGGTGCTAATACTACTTCGCTGGGTAGTGCGTTCCATGAGTCGATGACCCTGCGTGACAACCGAACGTCAGCTCTAACGTGATCAGATCTAGGCTTATGCAACTTCAGAGGGTGACCACGAAGAGATGGTATCTGAGCCGGATGGAACAGTCCAGTTAGATCAGGCCCAATCTTGTTGGTCAATATACGGTACGTAAGAATCAGGTCTCCCCGAAGGCGCCTATAGTGCAGCGAAAACATCTGCAACCTGAGCAGCCTATCGGGATACGAGAGATGCCTCAATCCTTGTACCATTTTCGTACCAACCCTCAGAACTCGTTCAAGTGTCATCTTATCGCGTACCAAGCATGGAGGACAGGCCTGCACGCAGTACTCCAAGTATGGCCTGACGAAGGCTGAGAACAATATAACGAACATTTCATTTGTTATAACGCCGAATGACCTGCGGATCATCCACAGCATTCGGAAACCCTTGCGGGTAGCATTTGTCCAGTTCTCGCTGGATTTGAAGTCAGAGGATACCGAGATACCCAAGTCAGTTTGTTCAGTCACTTGACGCAATACATTTCCGCCAAGTACGTAAGAAGTTGTGGAAGTGCTTGATCCTATGCGCATTACCGAACACTTTGCAAGATTGACTGGCAGCTGCCAGCTGCCACAATTCTGACCACTCCCAAAGCTTGTCCAGAGCTGTCTGTAAAGCCGTAGGCCCAACAGAACCGCTCACTGTATTCCAAAATTTTAAGTCATCCGCAAACATAATGGATGGTACCTTAAGCTTCTCAGGGAGGTCATTGACATACAATGCAAACAGTAGAGGTCCGAGAACC